CCTCCGCGGCCGCCTCGCGGGCTCCTCCTTGCGGACCGGGCGGGCGGGACGCCAGGCGGCCGTTTGACGCGGGCCGGCCCGGCCGGGGTTCCTGCCGCGGGGCTGGGAGGGCCTGAGGCGCGACACCGCTGGGGCTTTCGTGGCTCTGATCCTCCAGGCCCGGTTGAAGACCTGGGGGAGTTCGGACAAAAGCGCCAAGGATCTGGCAGCCTGGGGTCGAGGTGGGACCGTGGCAAGTCAGGCCACCGCTGCCAGCACACGTTTCCCTTTCGTAGAACGTCGACCCTCCCTCTCCCCCCACCCCGGGTTTCGGTAAACAAGTGGGAGGATGTATGTAAAATGCCTAGCAGAGTGTGCTTCACCTGAGCTCAGCAAGGAGGAGCTCACCATTTACCCCTTCTTACCTGTCAGACTGCTCTTCTTCCCCACTTGGCCGCATCCCTCATGTAGTTTGATTTTCTAGTTTTCAGATCTGGGGCACTGGGGCGCACCTGCCGTGCCTTCCAAGCGTCTGGCAGCTCTCCTCTCTTGGTCGTAGGTGAGGAGAGCAGCTAGGCCAGGATGCCGCTCCCTCCCCAAGGCCCTGCCCCTGTGAAGACGGGCTCACGCTGCAAGGGCTGGCACAAATGGTCAGGGATGGGTGCACTCAGGGATTAAGTCCTTCCCAGACCAGGAAACTTTCTGTCCACTGCGTCCTACAGCAGAAGGGTGAGAGGCCCTGGTATTTGCCCGTGGTCAAGTATGCACAGCTCATTCGTGGTATGTGAGAATTGGGCTCCACCTCAAGGATGTGGAGACAGCCCCTGCCCTTGGGGTGTTTACTATCCCCGGGGAAGAGAAAATATATATGCAAGTTGCCCACAAGGCCAGTTGTGTGAGACCAGCAGAGATGAGAGAAGCCACTAAGTGTTGGAAAGTAAAGTGGCTGAATCGGCAGGCACTTGACTCACATCTGAGTAATGACAGTTTTCGTAGCCAGTACCAAGAACCCCCTTTTACCCAACTTTTGTCTCAATAAAAATAAATTCAGCCTAATCACATGGATCTGATCATAAGGCCCATTACTGAAACAAAACTTAAATGAGCTTACCTTTGAAAATAGCCATCTGAATTTGACAAAAAATGACCCAAAGTCCTAATTGTTAAAACATAGGGTCCCCCCACTGCCTTGTCCCAGGGTAGTGTTGAGTATTCATTGCTTTTAGAAAATACTGCCTTTGGGCCGGCCCCGTGGCTTGGTGGTTAAGTGAGCGCGCTCCACTGCTGGCGACCCGGGTTCAGATCCCAGGCTTGCACCGACGCGCTGCTTCTCTGGCCATGCTGAGGCCACGTCCCACATACAGCAACTAGAAGGATGTGCAGCTGTGACACACAACTATCTACTGGGGCTTTGGGGGGAAAAATAAATAAATAAAATCTTTAAAAAAAAAAAAAAGAAAATACTGCCTTTATCCTGAGCCAGAAAGTCAGATTCTTTGACTTTGTGACTTACCTTCAATGAGCTATTCCTTTTTTTTCTGAATTCCCTAATGTCCCTCTCTTCTCTCTTCCCTCCTATTAACTAAATTTAAATTGTACTGGATGGTTCTCTCCCTTTCCTCTCATCTTCCGTCTGCGGGTAGGAGGGAGAGGTGGTGTGGTAGACACCATCCAGGGCATTTTTGCCACCCCAGGTTCTTGCTTCCATGTTCCTGAAAACTGAATGACTCAGCTAAAGACCAAGCAAGTCCCTGTCTTTCCCACTACCTTCTTTTCTCCTTAGCTTTATCATTCGTTGGTTTAGCCACCAGCATGTGATGCACTTTGTTATTACATTTTTTGCTAGAAAGTAATGCGTGGGATTTTGTTTATTTTTCTTAGGATCTCAGGCCTACAGAATTGAATTGCTCATACTTCTCAGTTCATGACGCACTATAATCCTTGGTCCATTTACAGTCTCTCTTTCATTTTATTTTATTTCCTCCTTTTATCCTCCATTTCTCTCTCAACACCTCCCCCCCTACCCACACGCAAACTTAAGCAGCCATGCTGGCATTTTTATTTGTTCTTCCAAACTACCTTTCACTATATCTTCCTAGAAAATGTGTATCTTTAAAAGATATCTCATGCTTTGCTTTTGTTGTACTTACCTAAATAAATACCATTGTGCCATACATCTCATACTTTTTCTTTTTTTCCCTCAGCATTATGTTTTGGAGTCAAACCATATTGCTGTATGTGAGTCTAGTTCAAACTCTTGGCTGTTGCATAGTTTTCTATCAAAAGTGTATACCACAAGTACTTAACTAGTCTCCTGGGAATGGACATTGGGTGGCCTCTAACTCCTTCCACAAACAGTGCTGCACCAAACATCCTTTGTGTTGTCTCCAGGTGATCTTGTGCAAGAATTTCTCTGAGATAGATGATAAATAGATATGAGATTGCTGGTTCTAGGAAATTTACACGATGTCTTTTGCTAAAAATGCTACTTTGTGCTGCAGAATGGCTTCATCAGTTTCCTCCCACCAGGAGTGCATGAAATCCCTTTTCTGACATCTGTCAGCACTTAGTATTATCTAATTTGCTATTTTTCGTTGAACTGGTAGGTTAAAGCAATACTCCAGTTCTGTTTTAATCGAGCATCTCATCTTATTGTTTTGCCATTTGTGAACTGCCTATGTCTCATTTGACCTTCTTTTCTTTGAGTTTCTGATATTTTTCTATTTGGTTTGCATTTTGTTCCTTATATACTGATATCCTTCCATATTAAGATGTTGATCCTTTGTCAAATGTAGATGTTGTAACTCTTCCCCTTGCCTTGTCACCCATCTGTTAACCTCATTTATGGTCTCCTTTTTATTATTAACAGCTTTATTGAGATATAATTTACATACCATAAAATTCACTTGTTTAAAGTATAAAATTCAGTGGTTTATAGTGTATTTAGAGTGTGTAACTATCACCATAATCTAATTTTAGAACATTTTTATTACTCCATTAGCAGTCCCTCTCCAATATTCCTTAATGTGCCCCTCCCCAGCCATAGGCAAGCCCTAATTTTACTTTCTATCTCTCTGTATTTGCCTTTTTGTGGACATTTCATGTGAATGGGATTATACAATTTGTGGTTTGTGGCTTCTTTCACTTAGCATAATGTTCTGGAGGTTTATCCACATTATAGCATGTATCAGTAGTTCATTCCTTTTTATGGCCCAATAATATTCTGTTATATGGATATACTGCATTTTGTTTATCCATTCATTAGTTGATGGGCATTTAGGTTATTTCTACTTTTTGGCTATTATGAATAATGCTTCTATGAACATGCACATACAAATTTTTGTGTGAACATATATTTTCATTTCTCTTGGGCATACACGCAGAAGTGGAATTGCTGGAGCATATGGTATCTCTGTGTTTAAACTTTTGAGGAACTTCCAGACTGTTTTCCAAAGCAGCTGCAACATTTTACAATCCTACCAGCAGTGCATGAGGGTTCCAGTGTCCCCACATCCTCACCAACACTTGTTGTCTATCTTTTTGATTATAGCCATCCTAGCTATAGGATGACCTAGCTATAGGAGACTCTGTGAAGTTATAGCTCATTGTGGTTTTTCCCTGATGATTAATGATGCTGAGGATCTTTTCATGCACCTATTAAGCATTTGTATATCTTCTTTGGAGAAATGTCTATTCAGATCTATTTTTTAAATTGGATTGTCTTTCGTTATTCAGTTGTAAGAGTTCTTTATATATTCTGGATACATGTCCTTTGTCAGATATATGAGTTGCCAATAGTTTCCTCTGTTCTGTGAGTTGTGTTTTCACTTTTTTGATAGTGTTTTTTGAAGCAAAAAAATTTTCAGTTTTGTTGAGGTCCAACTGATCAATCTTCTCTTTTATTTCTTGTGCTTTTGGTGTCATATCTAAGAAATGCTTGCTTAACCCAAGGTCATGAAGAGTCACTCCTGTGTTTTCATCTGAGAGCTTTATAGTTTTAACTCTTACATTTAGGGCTATGGTCTACTTTTTTTTTTTAACATAAATTGTTAAACTTTATGTAGTCATCTCCATCATTTTCCCCTTTTAGTTTGTGCTATTTGTGTCTCATTTAAGAAATCCTTGCCTACCTGAAGATCATAAAAATTTTTTTCTATGTTTTCTCCTACTAACTTTATTGTTTCTTCTTCTACATTTACATCTTTAATCCAGTTGGATTTTGTTTTTATTACTATGGCTTTGTAATATGTCTCAGTATCTACCTTTTTGTTCTTCTTTTTCAAACTCTTATTAGCTTGTCATGGACTTGTTCTTCCATAAACGCTTTAAAATCTGTTTGGAAAGTTCACAAAAAGTCCTCCTGAAATTTTGCTTGGAATTTAGTTGAAATCATAGATTGATCTGGGAAGAATCAATACTTTTCAATGTTAAGTCATCTCATCTATGAATGTGATCTATCATTTATTCATGCTTTTTTAATGTACTTTAATAGAGTTTTAAAATTTTCTCCACAAAGCTCTTATGAATTCTTTTTTTTTTTTACTTCTTTTTTTTTTCAATTTTATTTTTATTTTTTTCCCCCAAAGCCTCAGTAGATAGTTGTAGGTCATAGCTGCACATCCTTCTAGTTGCTGTATGTGGGACGTGGCCTCAGCATGGCCGGAGAAGCGGTGCGTGGGTGCGCGCCCGGGATCCGAACCCCGGGCCGCCAGCAGCGGAGCGCACGCACTGAACCGCTAAGCCATGGGGCCGGCCCTCTTATGAATTCTTTATTAAGATAATTCCTAGATTCAATAATATTACTATTATAAGTGGTATCTTATTTTGTTACATTGTTGCCTGTTACACTGTTACATATGTTCTGTTTTTTTGGGGGGGAGGGGGGTTGGTTACTAGTGGTGTGGAGAAATGCAATTGATTGTTTTTAAGTTGGTCTCCTATCCAGCTACCTTTCTGAACTCCTGTTCCTTCCAATAGTTTTTCTGTGAATTCTCTTGAGAGTTCTATGTAAAAAAATATACCAGTTGCAAACACTGACAACTTTTGTCTCTTTCCTTCCAATTTTATACTTTATTTTCTTTTTTATTATCTCCTCATAGTGGCTACTGCCTCTATAATTCTATTACATGGTGGTGGTGATAGCAGGCATCTTTGTCTTGTTCCATTCCTTAAAGAAAGTATAGTTTCTCTATTAAGTGTGATGTTAGCTGTAGGTTTGTAGACGATAGCCTTTAACAAGTAAGGGAAGTCCCATTCCTTGGGATCTGAGATACCAAGGAAAATAAATAAAATCTCATGCTTTACTTTCTAATGAAAAATTTAATAAAATGTATCATATGTAGTGGCTAAACCAATGAATAATCAAGCTGTGAAGAAAAGAAGGTGATGGGAAAGACAGGGGCTTGGTCTCCTACTTCTACTTCTCTAAGAGTTTTTTTAGAAAATCATTAATTAGTGTTGAACTTTGTCAAATGCTCTTTCTGTATCTGGTGAAATGATCGTCTGGTTCCCTCACCACCCCTATTTGCATGTATTATTATGGTAAATAATGTTAGCTATTGTAACTACTCCAACATTTCAATGGCTTAAACCAATAAAGCTATTTATTTATCACTCATGATACAGTCCAAGGGTGCCGGCAAGGTAGTGTTCTTCTTCACTTAGTTGTTCGGAAACTCAGGCTCTCTCTAGCCAGTTGCTTCCCCATCGGCTAGGACGTGAGTCCTTCAATGGATCCTCTATGTTGGCCGGAGATGACAAATCTCACTTCTACTCACATTCCATTGGCAAGGACTAGTCACGTGGTCCCACCTGGTTGTAAGGTGGTTGGGAACTGTAATGGTGTTCCCAGGAGGAATTGGAGAACAGAGAGATGGTGAGCAGTAGTAACCTCTTCCACAAACCATTAATGTAGTGAATAACATTGAAAGCTTTTCTGACTTCGAACCATTTTGTTATTACTTTATCATGATATACTCTTAATACACTTTTGGATTTGATTAGATAATATTTTATTTAGGTGTTTAGCATCCATGTTTATAAGCGAAACTGGCCTGTGTTTTTTTTGCACAGTCCCTATTCCAAATTTCAAACTTACAGTAACCTTAAGTTGAGCAGTGTTTCTTCTTTTTTCTGTTTTCTGAAGCAATGCATTTAAAATAGAGATTGTTTTTTCCTTGGAAGTTGGTAGACTGTACTTATAAATCTTCTGGGCCTGAGACTTTATAGGGAAGAGGTTTTTAAAATTATTTCAGTTTCTTAAATGGCTATTCACATTTTCTATCATTTTTATGCCAACTTTGGCAATTTTTCTAGAAATTTATTCATTTATGCTTTCAAAATGTATTATCATGTAGTTATTTATATTATTCTATTATAAGTTTTTAAATGTCTGCTATATTTGTCATTTCCTCTTTTTTTCTCCATGTTCTGTCAGTTATTCTTGATCACTCTCCCTAAAGGTTTGTCTGTTTTCAAAGAAATATTTTTGAGTTTTGTTAATCACCTTTATTTTTTGTCCTCTATGTCCTCTATTTCATTGATTCTGCCCTTATACTTATTATTTCATTTATTCTTGTTTCTCTGGTTACATGCTATTTGTAATAGATTCAGACAATGTAGACACTCATAAAGTGAGCTAGGAAAGTCCACTCCTGTCTCCTGTCATCCCACTGTTTATAGACAGCCACAGTTACCAAATTGGTGTATTTTTTTCTGGACCCTTTTCTTTGCTTATACCTTTTTCTACAACTTTCTAAACTATGTAAGTCATGGGCCTCTTTCTGTGGTGTACACACACACACTCACACACACATCCATTAAAATGGAATATCATTATTTATCCATTTTCCATTAATGAGCATTTACGTTGAAAGTATTGGTGGAATATAATTCATTCATATTTATTTTGATCACTGAGAAGTGTGACCTTGTTTCTGCCATCTTGTTTTGCCGTATAGTTATCATGAGTTCTTCCTTTTTTTTTTTTTAATCACTTCTTCTGGATTCATCAAGGTATCTTTGTCCCCATTCCTTCCTTCTTTTTGATTAGTGACTTGGAATTCTGTATCTTACTAGGAGACTTCATTAAGTTCTTAAGCATAGATAAACTTATATTTTCCTATAAATGTCAAAAATTAATCAGAATCTCTAATCTCCTTCCAAACATAAGAAACTTTTTAGCATATTTTTAATTCTTTTCTTCACCCCCACCTTTCCCCCACAGGCACATACACAAATGGGTATCTGCCCAGGAATTATTGAAATAATCTGGAAGCTTCCTATTTTTATTAACTTTTCACGCTTCAAGATACACTTTTTTCTCTTTTAGAAATCTTTTCTTAACAGTTGCATTAATGTATAACCTATTTGTGCAATTGCCTATTACACTAGAATAAGAAGGCTTAAACATGTGTGTCTTTTAGTTTTCATTGACTTAATGAAATTGGTAGTGATTTGTGTCTCACGAGTAATGCTTCTCTGGGTCTCTTATTTCTCAAAGTGTACTTTGGAATCCATGCTATTCTGATCCTCATTTGACCTTTGCTGGCACAAAAACATTCTGAAATACTTGCAAATGCTCGAGTCACTTCCTCATGTTTTACTGAGTTTACTTTAGCTTCGTTAAACCAAGTGCAATATCAGTTTGTGTAAACTTACCACTAACTGAAGGTTCATATAATGGCCCTGCCCCAGGGTTGAGACTGGCAAGAGGAGTATGAAAGTAGCTTTGAAATTCAGTTGCTGGATAGCTTACACTAAACAGCTTAACATTTTAACATTTTTGTTTATAAGTCTTAGTATTTGAGGGTGAAGTAAAATGGGCACTCTGGTAGTAAAACTATGGGAAAACTAACTTGGATGGTGTTTATCAAAAGCTTTTTGTAATGTCAATACCTTGTATCCCCATAATTATACTTCCAGGGCCATGTCCTAAGACACGTTTCCCACATGAGGTTATTTCAGGTGGTGCAGGGTAACTCTAGGTGGAGCACGTTTGCGGCATTGTCTAACACTGACTCACATAGTGAGCAAGTTCTTCCCCTGCTCAATTCCTTTTCAGTCTTCTGGTCGCAGAAAGAAGAAAAATCTCAGCTTGGTGCTAGTATGTCTTGAACACCTCTCTAAGCCTTTCTAATCTCCTTTTGGATATAAAAGAATGAGCAAAGGGATGGCAGTATCTTAACTATATTTTCACCATGCTGTTTTGTTCTCCATTGTGTTTGTTTTTACGATTGCTTTCATTTATCACATATGATGCTGGCTTCCCATTTACGATAGTGAATAAGGTTAGTTTTTAAAATACACTTATTTAAGGGCAGAAATGAGTTGATTTAAAGAGAAATGTTAAACACGGTACAGATGATATTTAATTATGGCAAAATAGTAATGGTGATGTATGGATGACTGAAATGTACGAAACATGACCCCAACGAATAATCAGAGCTTCAGACACAGATTTTAAATGGGAGTGTTCTTATATATGGGGCCATTCCTTCCAGTGTGACTTCTGTTATCATAAAGCTAGAAACCACTCAGTTGTCCAGCAGTAAGGGCTTGGTTAAGTGATTTTGATACCTTCCTAAGACGGAATGCTGCCAACTATTAAAAAAGTATATTTAATGACGTGGAAAATTATATGCTATTAGATAAAACAAAACTGGTTGCAAAAGAAAAATATACACAGTATCCTAATATTGTTAAAAGGAAAGTGTATATATCTATATAGCTACATATTTATACACTGTATATACTAAAATTATTGGCAAACAGATTAGAAGAAAATATTTCCAAATAAGTTATCTCTGGATGGTTGGGACCACAGGAGATTTTTGTGTTTTCTAATAGTAAACATATGTCACTTTTGTCACCAGAAAAACAATACATACATATATCTATTTTTTAATTAACCTGTTCCAACCCTAACAGGACTGCCTGGTATTTTGCATCTGCAGGGACTTCTGGGTCCATACATGCTCCTAGAATCCAGTTAGGTGCCTGTGGCCTGCTGCAAAGCCACAGGGGAATGGTGTCCTTAAGAATTCCTTGTTACCCCTCAGTACACTCCAAGGTACTTGGTCTTGGTGGGTGTATATTTATACTTTTGGAGTAAAATGGGGAGAATATATCTAAAATTCTTTGAAATAATTTTTATTGCCTTTTCTTCTCAGCAGCCTTATTAGGCAGGACCAAATTAGGATCCCATTTTTTCAGTAGGTCTAATCATTAAATAGGAATGGAGTAGATGCTAAGAGAGGGTCTCCTAGTTTCTCGTTTGTTCTCTTTCTTTAATTTCTGCAGTATTCTACTGAACATGAAATTTCATGTTGCATATAATCGTGGTTCTGCATCACCTGGGCTGGAGATATGTATAGTTAAATTTGGACGCCTCCTTTACAGGATTACAAAGTCTCTCTTTTAGAAAGAAAAAAGTGTTCACTGCAAGGCCTAATGCTTGGCAGAAACAATTGCTACCTTTTGCCTACTAGAAATTCCCAAGCTGTTACTTCTTAGAGCTTGTTCCTGGAAACCCCTGGACTCCTTTGTGGGAATGGGGTTGGCAGGTCCTTGGTAAGTGAGTAAATGGTGTCTCTATCTGGGAGTGGTCTTACAGCCCCGGTATGAGCTTCCTCCTTCTATAAAGGGTGCTGAGCTCTGCCCAGGGTAAGCCAGCCAGGTCCTGAGTCTGAGAGAGTCCTGCTGTGGCATTCCAGTAATATCTGCCAGGTTGCAGCAAGCCGTTTGACTGGCTGACTCCTTCCCTCCTGGGGTCCTTCAACTCCTCTCCACCCCTACTGCCACCGTTGTGCTTCAAGCTCTCACATCTCTTGCTGGATAACACAGTGACCTCCGACTGGTCCCTGCCTACCCTTCCCCTTACCTCTAGTCTGTTTTTTCACAGAAGCCTGTATGTATTAGTCTCCTGTTACTGTTGTAACAAATTACCACAAAATTAGTGGCTTGAAACCATACAAATTTATTATTTTGCAGTTCTAAAGGTCAGAAGTCCTAAAATCAAGATTTCAGCAGGGCTGTGTTTCTTCTGGAGGCTCTGGAGGAAAATCATTTCATTGCCTTTTCCAGCTTCTAGAGGCTTCCTGCATTTCTGGGCACATGGCCCCTTCCTCCATCTTTAAA